TGATCAATCAATTGATTGATCAACTGATCAATTTTTTTTCGAATTGTAAAGATCAATCAATTGATCAACATAGTTGATCAATCAGTTGATCAACATAGTTGATCAGGGTTTTCGAAATATCTCTCAAATTGTACAGAGTATATTAGAGTATATCTTAAGAGAAATTGGAGCGAATGCACTGACCGTTTGTGGGAAAAGTTCTTTGAATATTTCATGCCACATTTCAGTTGGATTTTTTGTTCGTATTTTTGTTATCGCTGAATCTGATGTTGATGGAACACCGATATCCTTTAAAATAAATCATTCAAAGAGTCATCATTCAGCAACACACTATCATTTACGCGCAATAGTCAGTTCGAATGCCTCACTCGAGTAACACTCTTATTTATTAGTAACGAAGTAACAATATACCAATCTCTGAAGTACTGATCCTTCAAGCAAAATCTCATAAATTAACTCGCAACAACCAATCATCACTATTTTCATTTCGTTGCATGTACAGTAGTGAAATTTATGTCTGACAATGTATTGTGTACAATTAATAAATGATGTTGCAAACATAAAACTGATCAACTCATATTTACCAGATCATTTTTATCGTATTTCACTGAATATAGACTCTAAATTGCAATGCGAGCGTAGCTGCACGAATTAGTTCGAAAGATTCTCCGGGGTATTCTCCTGGATTAACGTAATCTTCTTCAAAAAATTCCTCCTCATCAAGCATGGATCAAGTGCTTTTACCTCGAAACAATCCGAACCAGCGGTGATTGAGAGTGGTTTATTGAAGTCCGTATTGATCGTCTTAACGGCTGTTGTTCCGAACACCATATGGCTTATGAGAGCCCGACATCTAATCACAAGATTCTCCATTTGGGTACTAAACATCTGCAATGATTGCTTAAACTTTGCAATTGTGCAAACGCATTTTGATCAACTATAAAATGAGCCGTATTTTTGATCATTTCATGAAGTTGAGCACCTGGGATGACCGGCCAACACAGCCTTTTTGATCTATCCCAAGATCGGGCAATGAAATGAGACTGATTCATTCACGAGGGACATTCACTATAAAATGGCACTCCACTGTAAAGTGGGCGATAAAAACGCAGTATGTTCCATTGTGGAACATTTCAATGAATTTCATTCCTTTACTAATTATAACACTTTCATAATGGAAAAGAAAAGACCGAAGAATTTCATGATCAATTCATAAAGATTGGGTTTTATTTGTGATTCCATTCGTTATCACAAAAAAATCTCGATCGTTATTGCTATTGAATACCTGTAATGAAGCAAAATTTGAGTGTGCCATGAACCTGAGGATTTTACAAATGTTCTTTCGGTTTTCGGGCTCGAAATTCTGAAAGAAAGAATAAATCAACTTCTTAGCGAATTTTAAAAATGTCAAACTGATACAGTAATCAAGCATGAATCTTCAGTTTAAAATCAAGCATTCGTCCAACTAATATAATTCGGTATTCAGCAAATGACAAGATGTCACTGATATGACATTCTTGATTGACATTTTAACACCTACCAAATCACTTGTTTCAGAAATTATGCAGACAAAAAATGTAAGTAAATGTAATTTAAAAAATGAAATTAAAAAATTTGACTAATGAATAGAATTAATTCATTTGCTAATTATTCATAGAAGTAACCTGAAATACATCGTATTTAGCACCGACAATTGCTAATGGAATCGGAAGTGGTTTCAGCATGGATGCATCCTGAAAATTTAAGCTGGCGATTGAGATGGTTATAAATTATTTGTCTGACTGAAAGAATCGCTGGAGATTTTTTTAAGCAGATGAAATTCTAACTTCAAATAATAATGCTCTCAGAGAATATTTGACAGAAATGGCTGATTCGTTTGCATACGGATATGATGAAAGTGTTCTTGCGATGTCCATTGCTTATAATTATTCATTCGCATCAGTCATGCAATTGACCGAGCGACAAAATTCGCTGATCATACCTGATGGTCACTGAACCGTTTTTTGTGCGTTCGCATGATACGTTCGTAAACGAACGGTGTGGATTTGTTCAATTCGTTCATTATATCGTCCAAACGTTTTCGAATCGCATTCAGCAAATCGTAAAAAGTATTCCACATTTGTTCAGGCTTACTCAGGTCAACAACGATCAGCACTGAGCTGATTCTGAAAACGCTTTTTTTCGCTATGAACAAAAATGTTATCAACAATTGGATAACGTAAGCCTATAGTTTGATCGGAATGAAGATCAATACATTATGAAAGATGGTTGTAAAATTCACTCAATATTTTTCTTCGTTAACGGAATATCGAACAAATTCAATAATGAAGTCCCTCCGCCAAGTTCCCAAATGTTTGCGACGTCCTTGATCTGTAATTACGCAAATTGATTGGTTGACTGACCATTCATGAAATCCATTTCGTATTTTTGATTTTTTTGGAAATTTCTTTCGAATCATTCAAATCCTTATTTCGCATCTATTGCATCTTTCAACGTCCAATCTTCTTTCAACACGTCTAAATCAAATCTCCTAAATTTCAGCGCCGCCTCACCTATCAACTTTGCTGATTTTTTAATCATTACATACCAACAAAACATCGTTAAAGGCAAACGCTTGAAAATCATAAAATTCACTGAATGACATATTAATCTATGGAGCCACCGCTCCAACTTTATATGAGTGCAATCTCAACGAAGCAATCAAAGAACTGCTCAAAAAAGTTTGATCGAGCGATATAATCACCATTCCTCTTGTACGGCGTCCATACGTATACTCAAGTGCGATGGTCGGCTTTGTGTTTTCGTTGCGATCCAGAAAACGCAATATCATTTGACTTTTGCCCTGCAATCTAACATTTTCATCGAATTACAATCATCACTTCAAACGAATGACCAAAATCGATCATTCGAATATCAATTCAATAGTCCAAAATGAATCAATAGGACATCTTTATGATTATCAATGAATAATAATGATAACGGAACTGTTTCATTACTGTTATGAAAAGATTTAGTGATATGATAAGACTATTGCGTATGGGTAATGTGAAATGATTGATTAGTTAATCAGCGGAGTGAATTCTGAAAATTGATTCCAATTTTGTGGAGTTGATCATCGAAAATTTTTTATAAGATAAAAGAAAGCGAAATATATTTACACAATTTTTGCTTCCGCAAATGACAATATACGATTCGTGACGACGTTGAAATTCTGTTTCTGAAACAATATCGTCGAAAATTAGCAAAATGAAATGGTTGATGAATAAACATAAGCAATTGAAAGCACTCCTATCTCCCGATTAACGTTCTATCATAACTCATTCGTGGTATTTTCATCATCAAGCGGATGATTCCCGAGTCCGAAACGTTTCTAAAAACTAAGCGAATTTAAAAACTTCACCTTCTGCACCTTCATTCGCATCACCCTCCATTTGCAGATTGCCTTTCCGCTTCTGTGCATTGAGACGTTCTTTTGCCAACTGCCAGATATCGACCATGTTCCTAGAGTTTTTCAAAAATTGAACTGCAATTCATCACTATCAGAAACCATTTGCAATTTTTATCGTTCGATCTCAGCTCAATCAAACGATAACAACAATGGAGCAAACCACACATCAATGAGAAAAAGCAATTCTTAATGAGGTTTCATGATGAATATAAAAAAGTTTTCGTGAAGGTGAGTAAGAAAATCAACACACGACTTATCGGGTGTTTACTCGAGAGTTACATTGCAATCACCCGACTCCTATACCACAAACATCTATCTATTATCTGAATGCACAACTGGTTTGGTGTTGCAGATATGTAAATGCTTGTTGCATTAATGTCGTCGTTACCATGACGACAGATGTTTAGAAGTGTATATTTGGTTGGCTTAGTGGGATAGGTATGCAAAGAGAGCTCGATTTCAAAAGGTTTTTGCACGATAAACTTGAAATGAACTGAAAATAGCTAATATGACACCGTGAAGAAACAGTGATATGAGGCACTTCATTTTGAGCCACTCAAACCATTTCATCGAAATGAACTGCACATTAATCGTAAGGATGATTGATTCATGAAGTTCGTATGCTAATCAACTTAAGCCTCGGATCTTCGCCTACATCTCGTCTCATTTTGTCTTTTTCCAAAAATATCTAGGATGTGCTGAATCTAAAGGTACCAAAAAATTGATATGTTGCTGGGCAAAATTGAG